TCCACCCTCCTGGAGGGGGGTGGGGGGGGGGGGAGAAAAGGGGGAGAAAAGGGGAAGAGGGGGGGGGTCCCAATCCCGGTTTCCCCGCTCGAGAGGAAAAAGTTTGATATGTCTCTTCCCAAATGATTGTTTGAACCTGGAGTCACTCGTCTCCATCCCATTTCCATCGTCGATGTCCTTATCTATTTCCTGCGATATAACATTTCATCCCCCTTTTCTTTCTTACATTTTCTTCACGTGCACTTCCCGATATACGACATTCTAATTCTACGCTTTCGGAGCGGTTTCCGGCGACGGAGAAAACGTTTCGGATGGTTTTAAGCTCGCTCGAAGAACTACACTCCGTGACGGAACACTCTTTAGAAGACTCGGACTCGCAGTGGCTCGGCACGAGTCCATCTTCTCGGAACGAGAACCATTTTTTCGCCATCGCTTAATAGTTACTCGTGGGATCGATGATGCGAATGCGGACGGACGATCTGTCTCGTGGAAGCACTCGGATCCTGGTGCTTCCAGGACTCGGATCCTGGTGCTTCCAGGACTCGGATCCCGGTGCTTCCAGGACTGCACGCGTTTCAGTTCGTCGGTGCTCGGTCTCGCGAAAACGGTTCCACGATTTCGCTCGAGAACCGCTATTTTTTACCGCGCATAATGAATAAGTAACGAAAGAGAAAAAAAAAAGGTCTCTCTCTCTCTCTCTCTCTCTCTCTCTCTCGACCGCGGGACTCATTTCGCCTCGCATCTTCTCTCTTCATCTCTTTCCTTCCCCGTTAATCATACTTTTTGATGCGGCTCGAGGGAAGCCACGGACCGTGTTTAGGGTGACACTTATGAACCTCGTCGAGCGGCTCGTAACTCTTCGTTCGTCTCCCCCCCATCTCCCCCCCTCTCCCCCCGTCTTCCCCCCGTCTCCCCCCGACTCCCCCCGACTCCCCCCCGTATCATCTCGTAAAAGGGATTCATGGTGTTCATTTCCTCCGTTTCGCGCTCGAGTCCGAATTTCGTCTCGTCATATCTTCGCATCTTCCAAGTATTTCCGCCTCGATTTCCGGAGAGGAAATGAAGAGACTGCGATCGGATTGAAATTACTGCACGAAGAGGCAGACGCGATCGGTCTCTAATTCGTTCCACGAGATCCCGACGAGTGGGAAGGATCATCCCCAGAATATGAGATGGAAACGTTAAAAAAACGAAGGAGGCCAGAAACGGATGGAGACGATCTCGTCACGAAGCGACCGTCCCGTGACCCCGGCGTCGTTCTCGTGAGCTCGGGTGCGTCAAAGTACTTCGAGCTCGGGTGATCCTCCGTACCGCATTCGATTCGAAACGAAACGAAAATCGTCGACCCGCGACGGACGGCCGTGCGAGAAGCCGTCGCGATGAAAATTTTCTCGCTTCCGCGAAATCGATCCTTGTTATGCATGGCATCGGCGATACCGGATGCCTCGAGAAGAAGGGCGCCATGTGGAACGAGTCGTTCCGAATTCCGAGAGATTCCGAGACGAGAGACGAGAGAATCCTCTGCGTCGTGATGGATGCCAGCTGCCTCGCGCAACGGAGATATCCTCTATCCTTGGCGATCTCCCGTCACGGCGGAAAGGCATTCGAGGATCTGACAGGTCCCCGATGCTCTCGTTCCGTCGGTCTCCGTCGGCCTCGTTCGAGGAGAACGTTCCGTCTCGAACGGGGAGAGCCTTTGGACGATCTCTCCGATTTCTCGTCCTCGTTGCTCTTCTTCCCGCCTTCGTAAATGCGAAACTCGGGCCAAGAAATCGAAGTCGATTCCCGGAAGACTCGTCTCCTTCGCATCGCGGTCTCGTTCGGGGAAACGTTTCGGCGGAACGACGAAGTTCGTTCGATGACGAGTCCCTTCTGTCGTTCTCGAAACCGAAGAGAGACCCGGATGCGGATCGAAAGGGACTCTCGCGACACGCACCGCCCGGAACTCCCGAGCGCCGAACGAATTCCGGTCGTTCCGGGATCGGCAACCCGCTTCCTCGGGAAACGGCCCTCGATCGTACCGGGCCCGGCGAAGCTCATCCACCGTAACGACCCCCGTAACGAATAAACGAAAGAATCGTTTCGGATCTCGTTGCAGGTGGGCACGGAGGTCTGAACGAAAAGCGTCTCCTGCATTACCTCTTGGATCACTACAACGTGCTGGAGAGACCGGTGGCCAATGAATCCGATCCCCTGGTCCTCAGCTTCGGCCTCACCCTCATGCAGATCATCGACGTGGTCAGTTCGTAACCGTTTTTTCTCCTTTCTTTTCCCCGACCTTTTTTATTATGCTTTTTTCACGCTCCCTTCGGTCCTCGTGTGTCATCGATCACCGATGCCATTCGGGAGTGACCGCACGCGGGGTGGAACGAAAACCGAATCTTGATATGGACGTGCCGTTTCCGTATTTTCGACCTTCGATATTCGGCCGTATTCCGTGCCATGCGGTGCATTCGTTTTGGGCCTACCATCGACGAGAACAGAGGTGCCAAACACCACAGCAATATTAATTTAAAAAAAGACTAAAAAAAAAAGATAAAAAAAAAGAATCCAGAGACCGGAAACACGCGCCGTGTGCGGACCCCCCAACCGGACCGATGGACCGTCTGCACCGTTCGAAGGGAATACCGGTAAAGACGGTCGAGGCTTCCTTCGGACCGACGGAACTCATTTTTGAGTCGTGTGGCGGTGTACTTTCTCGAAGGGGGCAGAGGAATCCACGACTCGGAAGGTTCGCGGAAAGAAAGAAAGGTTGCGGGCATCCATACGGACGAAAGAGCGAGCAGAAGCAAAGAATTCGTGCAAGGACTACGCTCTTGCCTCGTAAATCATGCACGAGCTTCCATCTGGGAGGTCGATGCGGGCCGGGCTTTTTAGAAAGAGAGAGGGAACCGGGAACGTACGCCTGCTTTTATCATGCATCGGATCGAGTGCTTCGAGGTGTGCACGATGCTAACAACACGTTTCTGGCAACTTTTAGAACGATTCTGGTAGGGCTTCTCATCGGAGAGTGGAGCGATGTAAAGATCAGAGGATCCAGACGGGGAGCCACTCACTTTAGATGCCCGTGGCGGGCATCTAAAGCGAGTGCCCAGAGCCCTCCCTCCAGAGTGTGCTCGATCGTGCCGTGTCGTCACGTGGCGAAGGAGGAAAACCTGACGATGATAAAAGGGTGTTTTTGAAAAGGGTTGGAGAAGGAAGAGTCAACGTGGAGAACTCGGTCCATGATTTGATTGGAAATCCTCACTTTCCTCCCTTCTTTCTCCTGGCTTGCTTTTCGAACACACCTTTCATCGTATCGAACACACCTTTCCTCACTCGGCTGCGGCCCGAAGACACCGCTCGGTCGAGAACGTCACCAAGAACGTAGTCGTAAATATAAAAAATGACTTCATGGCACGAAATAAAAGAAAAATCTGTTCGAGCATTGCTGAGTCCGCTCCAGCCCGATAGGCGGAAGAGCCGAATATTCTTCCCGGAGTTTCACCTTATGCCTCTTTTATTTTATTTTATTATTTTTTTTACTCAAGGGAATTTATTTTAACTTTCGTGCAAAAAATGTTTGAGTGCTTTCTCTGTGTTGCAAGATAATTTCGAATCCAGTCATTCCAATGTGGGCATCATGAAGCCTCAACCAGGACGCGGTTTTTGCACGGCTATGCGGCATATCTTTGCCGAAGGGAGAACGATCTGGGATGGATCCGGATGAAACCCGACTCGCGGGGAGATCAGAAGCGTCAACATCGATACGGAAACAAGGCTCACGAGTGTTAACCTTAATATTTCCCATCTCACCGAAAATATATTCTCGATGCGTGTCCTGTGCGCAGCATGATGTTTTCCATACAGAGTCCGGAACAAACGTCATCTGAATTTGTGGTTGCAAAGTAAGGCTATGAGCTGGTGTCGAAAAAGATTCGGAAATCGAGAAAGGTTTTGTCCCGATCCAGTTCCCCCTCTAGTCGTTTTCCTTCGTCTGCGACTTCTTCACCGAAGGACGCAAAAGTCAAGAGGAAACGTCCTTCGTTGAAATCAATCGATTCAAGCGCCACCGATAGAGAAAAAGTAGATTCAAATCATCTACAAAATTGGCAAAAAAGTCCTAATGGAACCAATGTTCGATGACGTCCACCCACTGAGCAAAGGGATTTCCTCCACGTGTCCCGAGGGACTTGTCATTTTCAATTTCACATTTCTTTTCAAAAATCGCTCGCAGCCTTGCTGTGGCAGAACGACTCCGTTTTAATTGAAAAATGTTATCGATAGCCAACGAATTTCTGATGCTTCGTGAAAACTTCTGCAAGAGTGGAGATACCGCACGTGAGCGTATAACCGAGGGTCTTTCGCACGTACCTTCTATTCACTTTACAGACATGATATCCTTGTGCAAATTCTCTTCCTCGTGATCTTGCAGACGATATAAGTAAATGAAAAGGGCCCGTAATTTGAGACGACTTACATTGACTCGTGCAATGGACGACCTGCAGCATGACAGCATGCATCGGGAGACTTGCGAATCGTCCACTTACGAGAAAAGAGAAATTAGGAGAAATTCGTCCAAGGGTGAAAATCTCGTCGGTTCTCATGATCATGCAGCCCTTAAAGGCGCTCGGGTGCACGAATTCACTTTGAAAGTCGCTATTAAATTCCTCCGGTATTAAGAGGTAGAATATTTCATTTATAGAATATTTGCATTTGGATTTCATGAGAAGGGTATGGGAAAGCTTCTTGCTGTAGCAGGAACGTAGCAGTAACGTAACACGATGGACTGTAAGGAATCGAAAAGGTTTTGAAATATATATATCTGAAATTTTAGAGATAATTTGGAAAGAACCTTGAGAAATTGACGGTGGGAGTCGCTACATCTCTCGATAAAAGGCAAGGTATTTCAGTTACAATATTTTAATTTGGAACCATGGAATTTGGAGACAGATGTCTCTATTCTTGGTAAAAAAAAAAAAAGAAAAAAAAAAACAAGGCTCTCGCAGTGGTGAAGATCCGCTGCTGAACGCTTGAATGGGAAGGGAGACGGGGGGAAAATCCGCTAAGGTAAGCAAGGGGAAGTGCCGCGCAATTACACCCTTCGAATGAGAGAAGAGAGCAAGAGAAGAACGTAAAAGCTTGGGAAGGGGAAGAAAAAATGTGAGAAAAGAGAAGAAAGAGAGGGAGTCGCAAACAAGCTTTCAGGCTAGAAGCCCTTCGTCAGACATCGGGAAGACAAAGAGAGGGGGAAAGAAGAAGTGAGGAACCACGGCAGACGAGGATCCACTGATGCGGGGGGGCTGCGTTTTAAGCAGTTTTAATATCAAGGCCATCGGGGAGAAATGGCTGAAACGAGTTGGCTGCCGCAACCTCCTCGAATCGTAAACCGATGATCGTCGAAGTTTGCGTACAACTGAGACACGGTAACCTGGATGGAGGAAGCGGTATGGGACCGGATACGACACGTGACAGGGAGTGTCATCGGCAAGACGGATGGCAGAAGGATGACCAGAGAAACCATCGCGGAGGAGGATCTTGGTCGTACCGATGTCTCTTTCTTTCCCTTTCTTTCGATAAAAATGCATGCACGATTCGAGGAGTGCCGCAGTCGACCCGAGTAGAAATATGCAGGGAGTGGGAGGGAAAGCAAGAGCTAATAATGAATGGAGATACAGAGATGAGGGGAGATGGGAAACACCTGCTGCCCTGGCACCAAAAGCATCCAAGAGGAGGGGAGGGAGCAGATGAAAAACGCCACGAGACAAACGTATCTTTCTGCGAAAACATGATAAAGGCGGGTGGTGGAAGCATCCCTGGGGTGACTGGATAGACATCATCGCGTTGGCGGCATCTGGCTCCGTGCCAGTGGTAGGGTTCACCAGGTTTTGCCTTCTCGCTTCTTGCACGCATTTAGAGAAGCCCATCGAGTACGGAGAGAACGAAAAGGTATGCAACGTGCTATCGAAGACAAGAGCAAAGCCGTGTATGGGTGTATCTTCGACAATACGGTCTCCCTCGAGAAAAAGTTACGAAGCCAAGAAAACGCTGTCACAGCCGATCGATGCAATTAGAACTTTATTTTTTAATTATCCATGTCTCTAGGAGGCCCGTAAACGAGCCAATGAAGGCATTCGCCGATTCTAGGTGCGAGCATTAAAGGTAGACTGACCTGAAAATGCACTGGGGGTGAAAAGACCGAGAAAGTGGAGAGCAAGAGGAGCAGCGCTAGCTCGTCCAGCTAGCTGGATAGCTTGAGGCGATGACGTCACTTCTCCACGTCATACGATGAACCTGGATATACCCTAGGAAAATGTTCTGATCTCGTCCGTTTCTGGTCTTTCGACCTCATTCTTCGTACTTCTCCGCCTTCTTCCTACTCCGGCCCATAGAGCCAGGAGTGGAAGAAGTAATTCACACGGAGACGCGACCGGTGCGAACCCGTGCGTATGCTTTCCTCACCGGTTTCCAACTCCGAACGAGGAAGCGAGTCGCGTTTAGAACTTGCAAGAGCTTCACCCGTTTACTTGTTGATTACGGAGAGTAGCGGCGACGACGCCAAGGAAAGAACTTCCCAGCTCTGACCGAGACGGGAAGCGGGAGGCGACATGCGAGTACTGCCCCCTCTCTTGCACTTCTGGACTCGGTCTCCTCACCCCTCACATTCCATTTCAGGCCAGTTTGCCCGAGAATCCACTCGCTCGTGCAGCGTCCATATCAAGCGTCGTCACGTTTCGGGCCAGCCCGTTTGCAGTCCTTTTTCTATCGTGTAAAGTCCTCGTCTTCCCTTCATTCGTCCAGTGTTCGTTTTGTGCGTGTGCCTCCCTCCATTTCTCATCGAGTAAATTCTAAAGAAGCAGCTTCGTACGTGCTAGCTCCCGAAGCTATTCTCACGATACATTGGGAGTTAAAGTTGAGAAGGGAAAAGTTCCCCCAAAAATGACAGGATAATAATGATGAGTTGGTGAAATTGAATTTATTTTCCCCCTGCTTTGTAGGACGAAAAGAATCAAATTCTTACCACAAACATTTGGTTGAACTTGGTAAGTTGATGAAGCCTTTTTGGCATATCTGTGGAATATTCTTGCACGCTGTCTATCTCTGGGACGGACTTGAGTCATGACTCATCATTCTGTGTCTACCATTTCACGATAAACATCATACGTCCTCGTTATCTCTAAATTCCAGAAATCCATGAGATGTTCCTCTGATTCACTCGATAACGAGTGGGAACTTTGATAGCAGTTCTTCCTACTTGGTGTCATGTATCCCCTCACCACTCCCCACGTTTATTAGTTTCTTGGTTCTCTTAGTTCCCTCTCTCTTGTGCGTGTGTCGACCTAAACTCCATTCCGAAAATCTGTCCTGCACCCAAGGGCACCGGAAAAAAGTAAATTCTTCCAATGCCACCATTCCAATGGAAGACTCGATCGTGTGTATTTTCCGTTGTTCTTGAGGTGCATCTGTCCATCCGTCTCTGTCTCTTTTTTTATCACCGTCATACAGAGGTGAACCTGCAAATAATCCACGCGCTGAATAACCTTAACAAAGACCTATAAAGACAACAAACGAAGAAAAAGCCTGAAGACCTAATTTCTCCACCTTTTCTGTTTGATAGGATGAGAAGAATCAACTCCTTGTTTCAAATACATGGTTAAATTGGGTAAGTGTGATATAAGAAGACGGATACAATTGGATGGACTCGGAACTACTCCGTCCCATCTCTCGAGAACAGAAATTTCATAAGAAAGAGTGCTTTCGAGGCACGTTAAAATTGAAAAAGAAAAATTCCGATCGATAACTGGGAGGGAGATTGGGAGAAGTTCTGAGTCATCTGAATTGATCGAT